CCGCCGCCGCCGCCGCCGCACTGCTGGCAGGGCTCAGAGACCGCGAGGAGTCCCCGCCAGCGGCACCCTTGGGCGCGAAGCGGGAGGGCTGGTGGGTGCTGTACGGCATAACAGTTAGGCCGCCGCAAGACTTGATGGAAGACAGTTGCGGCAGCGGCGGCACCTGTGGCAGCGCCACCGCCGTTGCCGCCGCCGGCGCTGTCTGCGGCATCGGCGGCAGCGTGGGCTCTGCGGAACACCGCGTCGTCGGCGGCGATGGTCCACGGCCGTCGACGCGGAAGCTGCCGTCGGCGGTAATAGAGCCGTCACCGCCGCCACTGCCGCCACCGCCGCCATCGCCGCCACCTTGACCGACGGTGCTTAGTCCTCCGCCGTCGCCGTCGCCACCGCCGCCACCTCCACCGGTAACAACATCAGTGACAGTGGCTGCGGGCCGGGAGCTCAATGAGGTCGGAGCCAATTCAGTCGGCCCGTCGGTTGGTGGTTGACGGTTGACCGAGTTACGGTTGGCTGGTGCGGCAGTTTCGTCAAGGGAGGGCGCGCGGCTGCTCTGAGCGCTCCAAGGACGGCCGGCGCTGTTTTGCGACTGGAGGTTGCATGGTTGGTTGCATAGTTAGGTGGTTAGGTACAGTAGTTATTGAGTAAGTTGGTCCACGACCTTCAGAACAGGTTACTCCATACAAGCTTGTTACGCGTGCAAAAGCAAATTTCTTCAAACGACAAACGACACAAAAAAACATTTTTGCTGTTTGTGTTGTTGAGTTTATTAATAAAAACGTAACGGATGTGATGCCGTACAACAATTACGGTTGTCATGGTGACTTTTCTTAGGGTCCTAGGGTTCCCGTTCCATATCTACCCGCCATCGTACAAATGTTCGTAAACACTTCCTTCGTACACACGAACCTGCTCTAGCGTGTACTCGAAAGACGCACGTGGCAGCGGCGGTAAGGCCAGGCCAATCTCGTACGGCGGTTCAGGCGCGGGGTCGGACTGACCCACATTATCCGCTTCGTCGCTGTCGTCGTCAAAATACCTGCCGATGTACGGAACGTACGACAAGAACCAACCAGCCAAAGCAGAGGAAAGAAGTGAAAAGACGTACATCGGCGGGTCCCCACAAGCTCTTCCGCACCCAGGCCCCCACAAGCTCTTCCGCACCCAGGTCCCGGGTCATTTGCTGTTGGGCTGTTGGGGGCCGTTGGGATCCTTTCTCCCTCCCCCCCCCCCGTGCTGGGATGCCGGTTGCATCATCATCCGGGTGGGTGGGTACCCCGCGGTTCCCCGGGTGGTCGGGTGACGAATAATGCAAAACACAAGCAGACATACACAGACACACAGACAGACACAGACACAGACAGACACAGGTCTGGTCTGGGTTGACATTACTGCAATTAGCGGTTTAAGGTCCTGGATTCGATACCTGGGTAGACCCCCGAATTAGTCGGGAGCGCGAGATTATGGCTAGCTGCTGAGATGTGGAGTTGAGGTCACAGTTGATGGACCAGATTCGCACGCTGGATTGGTGGCGGTTGCCGAACCCTCCGTCTCTTCGGATGTTCGGGTGAATGGACGAGGAGGGGTCCCTGAAGGCTGGATCCGCCGCCTTGGACTTACAGTTCGTATGGCGAAGTACAGTGTGGTAGTGGTGGATGGTGCTATAAGGTGATACATGATCGTAGATCTGACAATGTGATAAAGCGGCCCAGAAGCCTCCCACTCTGTAACATTACACATTACACACAGACACAGACAGACACAGACAGACACAGACAGACACACACAGACACAGACAGACACACACAGAGGCAGACACACACACGCACAACAAAACACACACACGCACAGACAGACACACACACACTCACCTGTTACTGAGCGGTATCTTGCTGCCCGTGGACTCGCGATCCAAACTCCGTCTCCGCGGGTGGCGCTGCTGCTGCTGCTGTTGCTGCTGCTGCTGCCCGAAGCTCCGCGCCACGAAGTCCCGCAGGAAGCCGTCCACGGAGGTGCGCCTCAGCCGGCCTCGCTGCGGTGGTACGGCAGCAGCAGCAGTAGCAGCAGCAGCATCAATAACAGCATTAACAGGAGCAGCAGCAGTAGGACCATTAACAACAGCAGGGAGCAGTACGAGCAGCAGTAGCAGTAGCAGTAGCAGCAGCAGCAGTAGTAGCACGGAAATTTATCGTTGCTTTTACTTAGCATGAAACGCTAAATAAAACGTGATAGATACCATCCGCTAATGGACCAGGAGCTACCCGGGAGGTGAGGGAAGGGTAAAAACAATAAAAAATACAGAGGACGAAACACAGGAGACGCATTTGCACACACTCATACACGCTTGCACACACTCGCACACGCTTGCACACACTCGTACACGATTGCACATGCTCGTAACGCTCGTATGCATTCGTACGAACCCTGAGTTTGGGGCTGAGATCCATGTTGGAGAGCTCTGAGTGCAGGTTGCTGTCCGCCGCTCCCCCGCCCAGGGGGCCGTGTTGGGGATCCCACAACAAAGATGGTCGGCGCGGGTGTTGGCTCCGAGCGGCGGCGGCGGACTCCCTCCGCATGCTACCGCCGCCACCATTCCGAAGGCTGCCCTCGTTCCTACACGCATACGTACATAATACATAACACGTAACACTCGTGAGTCTGGAGCCCACTGTAACAACCACACACACACGTAACACATATTACATATTATATATTACACAAAAAACATTAAAGAACGTTTTTTCATGATCGGATAAAAATATATACATAATACGTAAAATACATAATACATAATGCATAATATATATAACACATGGTATACATAATACATGAAATATATATACATACATACCAACAACGGACGTACATACTCGCATGCATGCAGAGCTCGTGCAGAGTGCTCAACCTACCTTGCTGCTATTTTTGATATCTATCTATACATAGAAATATAGGGACAAGCATAACAAATACATGCCTGCAGCACAAAAGAATTACAATTACTTTATCGGTGATAATATCCCAATAATAAATAGCTTTAGTTCCTGCAAGAAGAATAGGACGCTTAGCGCGCCAGAAGCCGCAGCGAAAACGAGATCCAGATCCAACGCAATTGTTACCAAATTTCGTCGCTAAACCGAAGATGATCCAACTACAACGCATGTACGCACGCGTGCGTACGTACGTATGTGTACTGAAATTTCCTGGAGTCGATGCGCTTTCTGGAGTTACCCACTCTTCAAAGCTGTGCTCACGCACGCGGCGCCTACACCACACACCGGGAGCCCTACCTGAGGGGGGGGAGGCCGCAAAGGGCCCGAGATGCTGCTTATGCGCTCCGCGCGTATTTATTATAATAATTATTTGTGCGTATTGTGTACTAGCTATTTTACCACACCCCCAATTTCCAACCAGCCGAAATGCAACCTTCATCCCTTAGCAGAAGAAAATTCAGATTAAGGCCAAATTAAAACCAATCGTGTCCGCACATTCCCACTTACTTGAACGCCAGAGCAATTCGGATAAGGCCCACGGTGCGACGCAACTTCTGCATAGCGACCGAGCGGATTCCCCCCGCGGCCGCTCCCGCCGCAGCTGCCGTACTGCGCTGCGACGACTCCCCCCCGTCCGTCAGCTCTGCCGCCGCCGCCGCCGCCAAGGCGCCATCCTTCCCATGTACCCTCTGATTGGTCCCCTCCGCACCCCAGCGGGCCTTATGTTGTGCGAGTCAGGGGGTTGGGGGCGGGGTGGCGGGGGAGCGGATGTCACCGTGTGAAAAATGCGAAAATAGAAACCTAACTGCGAGATGAAAAAGGATGTACGATACAGCACATGTGGATCAGGTAGCATAGCTACGAGGGTCTCCTCTCCCGTTTCACCGCCCGTCACCCGTCGTACCGTCGTGCCCGTCACGGTGCTGCCGCCGCTGCTGCCAAGGAACGCCTTCGAGCTCTTAGCCCGCCAACCCGTAAAACTCCCCTTTCCGCCGCTGCCACCGCCGCCAGCATCGCCGCTGCCCGGCGGCGACCGAGATATAAGGCCCGCCAAGGGGGACTCAACCGACGTCAGCCTCCCCGAACCCATGTTGCCAAACGGCGACGTTCGGCCCATCGTGAAGCTGTGGCCACGAACGCCGCCGCCGCCGCCGCCGCCACCACCACGGTCCCCTGTTTCAGTTGACTCCCTGGAGCTGGTTCCGGAGCGGAACCCCAGCGTAGTGGGTAATTTGAGGCGGGAGAGCCCGCGGGTGACACGGCCCTGCTGGCTCGTGGTGGTTGGGGACGTCGCGGCAGCCTGAGAACCTGCGGCAGCCGGCGCCCGGGGGAGGGAGGGAGGTGTGGTGGTGAGGTTTTGTGTTTTAGGCGGGTGGCGGAGGGGTGAGGAGAAGGCGAACCACGGAGGAGTGAAGTTGATGCCCCGGGGAGAGGGCAAGGGGGGGAAAGACGAACCACGAACGAGATGGCAAAGGGGGGGGTAATCGTATGCAAGGGGTTCTAGGTCCACACACAATCACACACGGGGAAGCGGGCTACACAAATTTCGCGTTGCGACATTGCGCTGGTGTTCGTCCGATACCTAGTTAGTTGGTTAGTTTGTTAGTTGACCCACCGTTGGGTGACGTACGCGTGCTCAGATCCGGGCTGAAGCTGATGGGGTGTGCCCCTATGGCGCTGGCGGCGGCGGCGGCGGCGCTGCCCTGGCTCGCTAACGTAGCGCCGGTGCCGTACGCCACGTCATCAGCTGAGTCCTCGTAAATTGCCAGCATGGCGGCTTCGGAGCTGCCCCCATCCGTGGGGCCCCTGTACGACGATGACGATGATGACCAATGGGAAGATGCGCCCTGGGACGATGCGGGCAATTGGAGACACCCTCCCCCTGGCGGCGGCTGTAGCTGCTGCTGCGGCGGCGGCGGCGACGGCTGCTGTAGCTGCCGTGGCGGCGGTACCTGTGGCTGCTGTAGCTGCGGCTGATTGGAAGGCTGGTTGCCGTTCTGTATGTTCGACAGCTGCTGCTGTAGCTGCTTCAGCTGCTGTAGCTGCTGGTTGTAGTTAGTTGGGTTTGTCGTTGACCGTTGTTGTTGCAACGGCCCTTGCGGAGACGGCTGTCCCTGATTCCGCCAGAGCGATGACGGCGGTGATACCGTCAGGCCGCCATCACCGCCGTCGCCGCCGCCGCCGCCCTCGCGGCCACCGCTGTCGAAGAGTTGACGCGAGGTCGCCGCCGCAGTCGTCGTCGGCACCGCCGCCGCCGCCACCACCGCCATCGCCGCCGTCGGCGTCGTCGTGGGGGTAACCGCCGCCGCTGCCGTCAACTGCTGCCGATGACAGTTCTGGTAAGAGTAGGCGCTGACACCGTTGGGGCGTACAACAGGGGCGGCGGCGGCACCGCCGTTGCCGCCACTGCCCCCGATTCGGTTAGCGTCCTTGAGCTGTCTTAGGTCGGCAATCTGCTTATGCAGTTGCGCAAGTAGCTGCCCCTATCAACGGTAAACATGACCAGAGACAACGGTATTTTAGATTTAGATTAGCTTCTTTGGTCGGCTCGCAGCACTAAGTAGCATTGTGTGTTGTGGATTTGGAAATTTTTCAAAAAAATCCCATTTATTTCCCAAAACCTATTTTTCCCAAAAGGAACCATAACCGTATAAAAAGTTGTATATGTAAGAACCTGCCAAGTCGTACAGAGCTAATCAGCTCTCCTCCCGCAACCCCCTGCCCCATCCTCACAGCGCTCGTACGCTCCTCCACAGCGTCCCTGTCGCTGCCCGCTATGCCATTGCCGTCGACATCGTACAAGCTGCCGCCGCTGCCGCCGCCACCGCCGCTGCTGTTCCCGACGCCGCCGCGCGGGAAAGCAGCCGCCTGATTCTGTTGTTGTTGTTGTTGTTGTTGTTGTTGTTGTGCCAGTTGTGTCAGTTGCGATAGTAGTTGGGTCGTTGAAGGTGTGTAGAGGCGCTGCTTGAGGGAGTTTGTGGAGGATGACGTGGCAACCCCCGGGTCGTTGCTGGGTAGGCCCGCCGCCGCCGCCGCCGCCGCCGAGGGGGTCCTTGACCTGCACCAGTCAACGAATGGCGAAAGTGGCAGTAGCATTAGTAGCGACGCACTTGCCTTAGCCGCAGTGGTGACGGCAAAGCAGCTGTAGCAGGGCCGACGGCAGCGACCGTACCCGCATCCACAGCAGTAGATGGATGCAGTAGCATGGTAGCAGTAGCAGCAGTAGCGAACCAAGCAGTTTAGACAGTGCCTTTTTTCCATGCAGCCGCAAGTGGGTATCATAGCGGGGTACGGCATCTGCTGATGTTTGGTTTGATCCGTACCTGCACGACCCCATGGAAGCGTATGCGCTAGCCAGCTCCGAAGCCAGCCTTGCATGCCAGTCTCCGTCGCTGCCGCCGCCACCGCCACCGCCACTGCCGCCGCCGCCGCCAAGGCTTACCGATGCCGTCGCCGCGGCAGCGGCAGCGGCAGCAGCGGCGATGCCATTGCCAGTGCCGTCGTGCAGATAGTGCCGTAGACTGGCATTTCGGAGCTGACCGGTGCTTGGGAGTCGTGCACTGCTGTCCCCCCCTGCCGCCGCCGCCGCCGTGCCGCCGCCGCCGCCGCCGGCAGCGGCCGCCGCCGCCGCGTCCGCAAGCAGTCTCTGCCGTATTTCTAGCGGCACCAACAGCTTTTTCGGTTTCACAATAACGATATTGCTGCTGTCGGACTGATCCTTACTCATGCTGGTTGCCGTACCCTCCGGGCTTGCCGTAACGGTGCCACTGGTGCTCCCGAACCCGCTGCTGGCACTGCGGCGGCGCAGACGGGGGAAGGAGAGACCGCTACCGCCGCCGCCGCCGCCACCGCCGCCAGCGCCAGCACCGCTGCCACTTGCCGACGGCCCATAGTGGGCATGTTCCTGACTCGCACCTGCGCTTCCGCCGCCTCCGCCTCCGCCTTTGCCGCCTGCCGTGGTGCCGATGTTTGTCGCGGCATCATCCGTCACCGACATGCGAGCAAATAGGCCGGCGAACGAGCGCAGCACGCCGCCGCCGCCTCCTGCTGTTGGGAGTTGACAGTTGTTATGAGATGACAGTTGTTAATTGGTTGGTTTCTGATAGTTGGTTGTTATAACTGTTAAAACTACTAACCCCATGAGGATTGGACAGCGGGCGCTCCTTTCTGAGCGAAGAAAGTTGACACGGCCGCCCAACAGCCCGTCTTACCGTACAAATAAATTAAAACAAAAAATTGGCCACCTGATCAAATCTGTTTATTAAAATCTGCTAAAAGATCAGCCACTTCCATCTTAGCCGTGTCGTAAACGCCCCGAGTTCCGGCAGTCAGTCGACCCTGCATTCGGGTCCTGGCACCAGGGAAGCTGCCGCAAACCCTGGCGATAAAGGGCCCGGGCCATGGCCACCCAGCTGCAGCTGCTTGCTGATCTGCCGGCGGCTGCTGCTGCTGCGGCTGCTGCTGACTACAAAATGAAAAAATATTTTTGCCTCCTCTAAACATCCCCCCTCTCCCATTGCATGCAGGAACAGACCCGCTGCCTTCTTTCCACCCA